AAAGAGTACTACCCGATTTTCAAGACCACCCTTATACCTCTCCCATCTATTTATCTATTTATCCTATTTACACTTGCATATCCACTGTATACTAATTATCCCATTTTGTTATCTGATGAGTTTATCCAAGTGCCAATTTTCAAGATCACAGTTAATCCCAAGTTTGGGGGGGCCATGCCATCCACTTCGGATACTTCAGTCCTGATCATTCTTGCTCAGTTGCACTGGTATACTCTTTCCCTTATTCTCTTGCACATTGAGGACATTGTGCCATTTAAGTTTGGGGGGAATGGTACTTTGTAGTGTTAGCTTTAAATTTCAAAATTTTGAGCATCACTTATGTAATTAAGGTATATTTCTATGATTGGTCCATATTTAGCTATAATTTTGATCTTTTGAGGACTATATTGCTTAAAATTTAAAAATTGCTTAACTTAAGAGTCCAATACTCCTTGTATGCCTTGTGGATGCCATTTAAGAGTAAATTTTTCGAAAGATTGATATCTTGTTTACACTTGTGGTCCACATCATCTTGATTTTGTGATTGTTTTGAGATTCACTCTAATCTTCTACACTAGCACCGGCGCACACTAGCATTCATTTGTGGGGTACATGCTTTGTTGATTATTGAATTGGTTATATCCCAATTGAGCTAGTAGTGCATTGAAAGCTTTCATTCTTGATAAAGGTGGATAACAACCCCTTTCACTAAGTAGCCGGGATTCTAGCCTCATCAAGCACTGAACTTCTCGCGCCGAAAGGTGGAGGGCCCAAACTCTAGGTTAATAATTGAACATGATTAAAAAAATAAATAAATAATAAAAAAAATGAAGTTACAAAAGTAATAAAAGTGAAGACTTCTCCCAAAAGGTGACAAGTGGGAAATGATTAGATGGTTGTTGTCTTGATTTATAGCCTAGTTGATTTGAGCTTGTAAGTCCGTAGGGGTGTTTGTTCACCTAGTGCCCTAAAGCCGTCTGGTTTGGGAGTCATTGACCTAACGCTCAACCTCATGAATCGCTAAAAAGCTTAATAGATCAACACATTGCACCATGCTTCCATCTTTAATCCTTAAAATATATATATATATATATATATATATATATATATATATATATATATATCAAGTGAAAAGAATAAGCGCACGTAAAACAATGAAACTTTAATAAAAGGTTCACTTTTTGTCTTGATGATCGGTGCTAGATTTGTGTGCTAGTTTGAGGGTAAGGATGTGATTAATTCTTTAGTTAGCTTAGATAGTAACATATTTGATGCCGGTCCACTCAAAAAGGATTCTAAAGTTGTTTTGATTTGCATGATCATTTTCTTGATGTGTGGAGGACCATATTTGTTTGCTTGATGTTAAAATTTTGGGAGATTGCTTAGAAATGTTTAAAAAATTGCATAATTGAGGTAGTTTTCTCCCGATGCTTGTTTGCAATATTGGTGCCTCTTTTGAAAGAATGAGCTTAATGTTTGTGGGTACCATTTCTAGAAACCCTCACGAGACTTCACTCGTCCACTAGGGGTAACCTAGGGGTTTAAAAGGCTTGTTGCATATGCTAAGTGCAATCGTGTTCCCTACGAAAGTGGCGTTATCCATTTATTGTTTTCGAGACTCATACTTGTATAGTTGTTTATTTCATTCCTTTACTTTCTAGTTCATTGCTAGGGACTAGCAATATTTAAGTTTGGGGGTGTGATGAGCACAGAAAAGTGCGTATTTAAACCCCTTAAGTTTAGGCATTCTAGCACCATTATCTATCTTACTTTACCATTTTAGATTGATTTCATATTATTTCCATTTTCAGGCACTTATCCCAAAAATAAGCTAACTCAGCCAAATAAGAGCTTAATTGAAGCAATTCTAGGATTAAACAAAGAAAGGAGCAAAGTGGAGAAAGAAGAAAGCAAATGAAACCAATGGTGGGAAGCAACAAAGTTCGATCGATCCAACTTCAAGATTCGATCGATCGAACAAAGATCGATCTCAGCACTTCAAGATAGATCCAAGCCTTGGCCCAAAAGTATAAAGTCCAAAAGTTCGATCGATCCAACACCACCCTTGGATCGATCGAACATTTTTGTCCTTATTCAAATTATTGATCCTATCCACAGCTGTACCACTCACTAACCATTTTTGTCCTTTTCCCAAAAATATCTCTCAAAATATCTCGGATTTGTCTTTTCCCAAAAAGCTCAACCAGTTGGATAGATCCAGCCTAAGTTCGATGGATCTCAGCCAGTTCGATCGATCCAAGTCCAAGGTTCGATCGATCGAACTTCCTCCAGTGCGAAAAAGTTAAATTTCCAGCTTGTGCAATCCGTCCTCTATCCAATCATTAGAGAATATTCTTTGCACAACCCCAGCTCATTTTGTGTGCCACTTGACATACCTATAAAAGGAATATGATGCACTTTTTGAGACATATACACAATTCTAAGGTTTATTCTCTTGGAGGGGAAGTTTAGAGGAGGAGGAGGCTAGAGACACCATTGGAGACTCTTCATCAACCAAGAAGCAAATTTCAACCATGGAATTAGCCCTTGAGGGTTGGAGCAACATCACCATGAGTGGCTAGACATCCTCTTGGGCCTAAAGTTAGCCCCAAGCATGCTTTCTATATCTTAATCTTGTGTATTATTGAGGGATTAGTATTGCAATTAATGTTTTGACACTTTGATATATATAGATCTTGTTTATTCAATGATTTATATGGTTTAATGCTTCTAATTGATCATTTCATTCTATCCATATGTCTATGTATGCTAGAATAGATGTTCATGTGCTTGTCTCTAGATGTTGTGTTATTGATGCATGTCTATGTGTATTGATACTATAGATTTGGAGATTGCCAAAACATAGTGCTTAAAGGAATGCTCTTGTGATTCTCTTGATGGTTCATACTTATTCCTTGATGGATTATGCCTCTCCCCTAGTTTATTTTCATGCTAGTAGTGTAGATATAGTGTAGTTGTAGTGTAGTGTTAAATGGGAGGACAATCTATGCTTGTTGTTTGATGATCCAAGCTTTTGAATGCAAGTAGCATATGTCTCTGTCCTTGTGTTATATTTGGATTGTGAGCTTAATGAAAGGATTAATGACTTGTTTTGATCTACTGTGCCTTTCACATGTTGTTTAGACAATATATACTTCATTGCTTAGATATATTATGCCTTTCACATAATGTTTAGACAATACATGCTTAACTAGTCATCCTTACTTATTGAATCAACCAAACACACACACACCAATATTGCAACACACCATTTGCCCTCATTAGTCACTTGTCAACGATATAGAAATGCATTGCTTGGTGGTGATCTCTAAACCCCAAGATCTCTCTCTCTTACTTACTCTTAATTGCATTCTTTGTTATCACTTAGTTTGATTTAGTTGTTTTCTAATCAACCAACCAACCAATTGTTTGATCACTCGACCTACTAGCCCTAATAACGATTCCACGACATTGTTCGATCCTCACAATCCCTTGGGACGATCCCTACTCGCCCTAGCTATATTTATAGTGGGTAGTAGTGGCTTCTATAAATGTAAAACTCTTGGCCCTCGCTTTAAAATCCACACAATCTCAAGCTTGACGGTGGTGCGGCATACACCGGTCAGTATGCATAATTTAATACACAGAACTGGTATTACTTATGAAACTACTTGGAAAACAGTAATGGGATAAAAGTACCTAAAGCTGAACTGTTCGTTTCATTGATTTTGTCTTATTGCGACTCTTTAGCTCCATGGTCGGTTTTAACCTCTTAAATTTTCCTTTCCGTGTATCTTTACACTTGAGGCCATTGGGGATTTTGTCAGTATTTATGTTGCTCCCGTGATATTGCTTTTTGCCTTTACCACCACTATAAATTGCATTCCTCTCAGCAAACCTACGCCTACAACTTGATTGGGTAATTTTTTTCCACTCCATAGCTTTCACTAACAAATCATTGTATCCGTCCTTATCCTTCGATACAATGGACGAAATTTCAGTCATAATACGATAAAGTACCATGTGACGTCTCCTAACCTCAATTTTTGGATCAGCATCGGCAATCACTTCACCGGCAAGATTTTCCTCCAAGCTGCCATCTCTTGCACTTCTAGTCCACCTTCTTAATATATATATCGATGAGGTAATGTATTAGCGAACATGGAATCCTTTAGGATTTTCAAACTATGCTTGCACATAATACCCTCCCTTTCAAATTTACAACAAGAACATAACAATTCATCTTCTGATGCCTCTGTTGCCCTCGATGGGACCGCAACCAATGATCCTCTGACTGGCACCAACTGCTAAGAACTCCTCCTGGAAACTATTAAATATAACCTTTGTGTACAGGTTTGCCGCCTCTACTAATATGTTACAGTTTGTTTTCAATTGAGGAAGATTGTGGAGCAACCCATACTCGGCTACATACTCCTTATAACGCTTGTTGGACAACAGCCTTTCAAAGTGTGTGAAGAAATTTGGAAGAATTAGTTGCCTGGATAAGTATGCCTTCAAGCAACCATTGAAGCTTTCACTCAATTGTGTGTTGTGGATACCCGCGGACCAGGCATGTTTAATAAATGCCATGGCCCATCTATGTTTCAAACCTAACAGAGTTATAAGCCACGTGTTACCAACAACACCATATTTCGTTATCATTAAATTCCATTCCCTGGTAAATTCTTTCTCCTCCTCAATTTGAAACATTAATTTTGATAACACCTTCTTAAAGCCTTGCACACATCTAAACAAGAACCCTAGATGCTTCCGTGCATTTTGCATTAGGTGTCAAACACACAAATAATGTTTTGTCCTTGGCATCACCTGCAAAATTATTTTCTGTAATATATGTACGTAATAATACAAAAGGAAATGCAAAGAGTGACGATCTGAATTGAAATCACCTGCGTTAATGCCTTTCCCATTGCAGCATCTTGATCAGCGAAGATTGTCTTTGGCACTTTACTGGACATTGCTTTCAAAAATGTTTCAAACAACTAGACAAACGACTCTGCAGTCTCGTCATACATGAACGCTGCTCCAAACACAGTGGTCTCCCGGTGATGATTCAACCCCAAGAAACTTCCAAATGGACAGTTGCCATGTACAACTTTGTATGTTGTGTCAAAACTTACAACATCTCCAAAATTGCAATAATCAACTATCATTTTTGAATCAGCCTAGAATATGTAAGTGATCATTTGATCACTATCCAATTGGAATGCATAAAAGAAAGATGGATCTTCACAAGGCTGGGTCTCAAAATAATTCATTAGCCATGCTGCCTCTCCATATTCGAGCTCAGTTTGTCTTCGGGTCCTTACATGGTTTAGCAAATCCAACTTCATGTACCCGATTGATTCTTTTCCACCAGCTTGCCTTCCCATCAACTTATATGAATTGCGAGGGCTTATTCCTGAATCAGAAGCCAATTCCAAATCAATGGCCTGAACACGGCTAATTCTACGCTGGGACAGCAGCATGTGCATGCATTCATCAATCATCAGTGGATGGTTGTGGCTTTCAACAAATTTTGTAACTTCCAACTTATACGTATACTTGGAAACTTGTATAAGCATTCGAGCAGGGCAACCAGTTCGTGTTTCAGCCCTGGGAGTCTTTATATTACTGTCCCGAATGTCGTCACCCCTGAAGCCCTCTTTGCAGCATGTTAACAATCTCGATGACAGTTTACCAGTCTTCTTGCTCTTATTAAAATACTCTTTGTGGATGTTAAAACCGACTCGACCGGCATATGAATTATAGAAATCATATGCCTCTTCCTCAGTTTCAAACTTCATACCTATTCTTTGTTTCCATTTTACGACATCTGCCCCTGCAATAGGAGCATTTTCTTTATATGTGGTGTCTTCGATGTTATTTAATACCTCTTCCATTCTAATAATTCAAATCAGAAACCTAGAATATAAAAAAATAATAATTTGAACGAAGGGCTGTGTTGCAGGTATGGATTATTAATTGGAAATGTTTTCTGACCTACTAACATTGTTCAAGATAGTATAATGTATCAGGGCAGGGAACCAACTTCCTCAACTGCACATATTTTAATTTTGCTACAATTAACAGCATAAATGATTTATTTTACTTTTTCCAAGTCAAACATGCACTTCCAACCTTTTTGGACCTTCTATTTTCATAAAAATAACAATTGTGTTCAATTATTCATTTAACTTTTTTCAAATCAAACATGAAGTTGCAAACTTTTTTGGGCTTATTTTGAGCAACATTACAACCATGTTAAGTTAGGGGTATAAGAAGAAACAACAACAGGAATTGGAAAAACATTTCCATGTCATGCAACCAAGAGTAGTAGTGTGATGCAGCTAATCATTCAACCAAACAACATCCCAACTAATTTGAGAAATTAAAACAAAGACAAACCAACAAGAAACAAATATTAAAGAGATAATAGGGAAAAACTAAACCATTTGTAGAAAGTGCACATGTTATTAGCCAAAGATAACTATACCAACAGATTAGAACAAAAACGAGAATAATTTGTTACCCAAAACTCAAAACTAAATACATAAAAAATAATAACAATAATGCTAATAATAAAAATAACCAGAGAACATGAAAGCTACCACATAGATGGTAACAGAGTAAATTAAGTAAAATAAGAAAAGGAATCCAAACACCATGATCAAAGAAAAAACACTCCCAATAGCATTGTTATTAATGAATAATCAGAAGAAGAAAAAATGAAATAAATAGTTAATTTCTCTTATTTTAAAGAAAGATACATACCCCAAAGACATAGACAAATCTATTGGAGTAGCAAGCATAGTGCCACCATCTCTCACAAGGATTAAAACCCATGAACTTTGGATAGAGCCACATTGCCTTCTTTGCAACTTCAAGTCCCAGAGAACCCATTCTCTCTGTCTCTCTCACACACACACAGTGACACAGTGACTTTTTAATTCAAAACCCAGTCATCACTTCTTGACAAAGATGAAGAAAAAGGGGAAGATAGAAATAAAGGGTCAAAAGGACATGAACAAGCCAACTATCAATGTCAATAGACATAAGAAGATGGGCGCTTCAAATCCAAATCACTATTACAACCATCAATAACAGAAGGTTGTGGTGAAAAGAATCTGAATTGGTTCTCCTTCACTCTTTTATTAATATATATGTATATATAGCTAATTTAGTCAAGAGGTTTTTTTTTTGGTTCATTGTTTATTTGTTTCCTTACTTTTCCCACTTCTGTAACTGACAATGATGAAATGTGGGAGCATTAGTTTGTGGGAAATGATGGGAAGGTCTTCGGCTTGTTTTGAAAAACATTACAACCATGTTAAGTTATTTATAATGAACAAACACAACTCTCAATGGAAACTTACATTTCATAAAATGGAAAATTTATTCTGACATATTAAAATTGGAAATGTAAAACCTCCATTTCTTATTATACATAATATCCCAAATATATTGTAGTATTTAATACGAATAAAACACTGCATTACAGGAATACAATGGAAATTTTATTCTAACATCATAAATTGGAACTTTAAAACATAACATATAATGCAGAATATAACAATTTTTTCACAATTTAATAATATAATTTTCACAATTTCTGATTCAATTTTTCACAATTTGATAACACTTCAACAATAACCAAACAAAACTAATGAAACACAATATCATATGATTCACAAATTCACTTACAAAACCAATACACTGTAGCTTCGTCTTCCTCAGCCTTAAATCAACCACACGACACTACACCTTCCTCTTTCCCGTAGTTCAATCAAAACTTTCCAAAGAAATTGTAATTTTGGAAAGAACAAAATTAAGGAAAGCTGGGACAATGTAGGAAAGACCAATTTATTTCTTTCTACATTTTGGGAGAGAAAAAGAAAGAAGATTAAGAACAGGCGCTATACCTTCGTCATTGTAGCTTCCTCTTCTCCGATGTTCAATCAAACCTTCGGAAAGAAATTGTAAATTTGGAAAGAAGGAAGAAAAATCGGGAGAGAAAAAGAAGAAAGAAAATTACATATTTAGAAGAGGTGATTCGTCACTTAGATTCCTCTTCTCCGATGTTCAACCAAACATTTGGAAAGAAATTGTAAATTTGGAAAGAAGTAAGAAAAATTGGGAGAGAAGAAGAAGCAAGAAGATTAGAAGAAGAGGCGCGGAAATTATAAATTTGGAAAGAAGGAAGAAAAATTGGGAGAGAAGAAGAAAAAACAAGAAAGAAGCTTAGAAGAAGAGACGCTAAATCTGTTCCAGAATTTCCAATTTACCGATTTACCGCTTAAACCTGAGTTTTAATTTTGGGAATTTCGTATATGTGGGTATGTATTGTTTGTATATGTATCTATGTGTGTATACCCTGTTTGGCCCTTTTTACCACCGCTACAGTGCATGAACAGTGCGAACAGAACAGGAGGGAACAGATTATACTGTTCCACAGGAGAGGATTCTGCTCCAACCCGTGCCATCCCCTCTTCCAATTTATAACCCCAAGAATTTTTTTTTTTGTTCAAGTAAACCAGCCTTTCTGCCTCGCCTCCATCTGCCGATGCTGAAGCTCTTTCCATGGCGTGGTCCAATTCAACAAACCCTAACCCTAATTATAGTCCCAAACATCTCCTTTCATCTACATCCACTACCACCACTTCTATATATCTCCCGTTTTCTAAGCGTATCTCATTCTCAATCTGACGACACCTACGACCCTCCATTTTCTCCTACTTCCAATACCCTCAAATCCAAGAAGACGACCGAGCTTCCAATAAAAAATAAAAAATCCAAGAAGAAGACTCAGGATTCATTGGATTCCCGGAAAGACCAGAATTTTCCAGGAAAATCGGATCTACCTTTTGATTTCAGGTACTCATACTCTGAAACCAATCCTTCTGTAGAGCCCATCGGGTTCCGTGAACAGCCCAGGTTCTCTCCCTTTGGACCGGGACGCCTCGACCGGAAATGGACGGGGACTTCTGCTCCGGCCCAACAATCCATTGATTTAGCCAAGGTAGCAGAATACCGAAATGCTGTTCTGGGTGAACCGCTCTCCGAGGAAGAAATTGCTCAGCTTGTAGAACGTTACCGGCACAGCGATTGCTCTAGACAAATGAATTTGGGTATCCCTCCTTCTCTCTTTATATATATTTATGTATGTATCTCTGTGTATGTAACATTAATACCATTTTGTGTATTAATATTTGGATTTTATTGATACCATTTTGGGTTCTAGTTGATGAAAAGTGGCAATTGTTAAGTGAAAATAGTCATCACTATTAAGTTACCCAATTGATACTTTTGTACATATGTGTCGTATGAATATGTATGTATATGTGTGTTTATATATATGATTTACAAAATCCTCTGTTTTGAACTCTGGTACTAAATACATGCTCAAGCTTTGGGAACAATTGCTAGCTCAGGCTGCTTACTTGATAAACTTTATTATAATCACGAAGTTCTAAACGCTCGAGAAGTTACATTCTACATACTATTCCTGTGTTTATATTATTCCATCTACATGCTCATGTACTTCGATAGACTTTGGGAACATGTTTAAATTACATTGAAGAGAGCTTTATGCTTTGACATTTTCCAGTAACAAGTGAATCTTATGTTAAAATTTTCTATTTTCAACTCTAATATTTGATATGTGCTCTACTATTGTGCTGCAGAAATAATTGCAAGATTCAGCTGCTTAAATTCTTGTAACTTTATTGATCTTTAATGTTGAAAGCTTGAGATAATCAAATTCTACAAAATACTGGGCATACTTAATTTTAGTATGCCCGACTATGTTCTAAATTAACAGTATATTTATCATAATGTTGATTCTGCTCCTTGTCGTGTGCACATAGAGACTCTCTGTTCTTCCCCCATCAACAATAAAATTTCAACATAAATTTGATTGGCATCTGATCAGTATCATAACACCAGAATTTTCTTGTAATGGTGATGCCAATTTCACAAATTATTTAGAATCAAACCGTGGAGCTCTTATTGAATTTAGACGAAAGATTCCGAGAACAAGCTTTCATCATGGCGTGGAAGCAACTGTTGTCAGTGGCGGGGGATCAGGTGTGATAATAGAACTGAAGTTGTCACTGTAATCGATCTTCACAACCCATTTTTACCAAGTTATGATTCTGCTACTGGAGAAATCAATTGGAATTGACATTGATTTTTTCATCATGGCGTGGAAGCAACTGTTCAACTCTTGGTGAAAATGGGTTGTGAAGATCGATTACGGTGACAACTCCAGTCCTATTAGCACACCTGATCCCCCGGCACTGACAACAGTTGCTCCCACTCCATGATGAAAGCTTGTTCTCGGGATCTTTCAGACCATTTTTCAATTTAATAAGAGCTTCACAGTTTGATTCTAAACAATTTGTGAAATGGGCATCACCATTACAAGAAAATTCTGGTGTTATGATACTGATAATAGCGAAAATTAGTTAAGGAACTAAAATTCTCCCCATCAGCAACATTTTCTTGTAAAGGGATCTGGTGTTACCATTTTTTATGTGATTGACACAAGAATACGACTTTTGTTTCTCTAAGGCAAACCTAAAAAGAATTGAAATTTATGTTTCTCTAAGCCAAGAATATGACTGCAGTATCAAGGAGGCAAGAATACGACTGCAGTATCAAGGAGTCAAGTCTTCCTAGTGCTGGTCCATGAGAAAGGTTAGTAGGAAACTTCTTCATTGGACTGTTTCGCTCTCTGAATCTGCCTCTGCAAGTCTTCCATGACATTTTCCAAGTCAACTAGCGTGCTTAAGCAGATGAAAAGGATTGAAATTTTCAATAATTTATGTTGATAAAGATGGGAGTTATTAATCAATATTTTTCAGATGCCAATCAAATTTGTGTTGGAATTTATTGTTGACAGGGGAAGAACAGAGTCTCTCTGTGCACACAACAAGGAGCAGAATCAACATTATGACAAATATACTGTTAATTTAAAACATATGTGGGCATACTAAAATTAAGTATGCCCAATTTATATGCCAGTTTAAATCTTGAAGTGATTATTTGTAAATATACGTTTATTGATCGTTTGGGCTCAAAATAAATTAAAAGTTGCTCCTGCTACGCAGCCTTGGGCATTGGACAAGGACGTGTTGTACGAGTAACCCATTACCTTTTGGGTGGAATTGGCACAACATGGGCATTCTACCTAGCTCAGGGCCCCACTAATTGTATTTGGCATAGATGTTCTTGAGTTGGACTCAGGCTTCAACATCTTCAAGTAAAATGTGAGATTTATGTTGTTAGGGAAGGGGGGAGTAACTCACAACATGCTGGAAGACATCCACAACTACTGGAAGAGAGCTGAAGCTGTGAGGATCAAATGCTTGGGAGTGCCAACTATCGACATGGATAATGTTTGCTTCCATCTTGAGGTTTAACCTCTATGTAGTATCTGTCTTGTCTGAATTTTGTATATCTGATTACTCATTTGTGTTCCAAGAATATTAACTGATCCAGATAGTAGTGTCTTCATAGGACAAATCCGGTGGGAAAATTATCTACCGCCAGATTAATATCCTTCTTCTGTATCGGGGTCGACACTATGATCCCAATAACAGACCAGTCATTCCTCTTATGCTGTGGAAGCCATATGCACCGATATATCCAAAGCTTGTGAAGAATGTCGCTGATGGCCTAACATTTGAAGAAACAAAGGAAATGAGAAATAGAGGACTTAACTCTCGTCCTCTGATGAAACTCAGTGAGTCATCTTGAATTTTGTGAGATGAAGATGAATTATTGCTCTTACCTCCTGTTATAGTAATTATTACATTTCAAAGTGTTTGTTGTGTGGATGCATGATCTGCATTGATATTGATGCTGATTGTTACATTTTTTTCTTATCATGTGGATGCATGATCTGTATTAATATAGATGCTGACTGTTGCATTTTTTATGTTCTGCAGCCCGGAATGGTGTGTACGTTAATGCAGTGGAGAGAATAAGGGAGGCGTTTAAGACGGAAGATGTTGTGAGATTAGACTGCACTCATGTGGGAACCAATGACTGCAAAAAGATAGGTGTGAAGCTAAAGGTATGACTTTTATCAGATTCCACTTTTGTTTTCCCTTTCTTTTCTGCTTATGTTTGAATCGTTTTCAAGAAGTTCTGATTATTGAGAACTTAGTGGTGTGTTTTTTTCCATCAATCTAGGATTTGGTACCTTGTGTTCCCATATTGTTCAAGGATGAACAGATAATTCTCTGGAGGGGAAACAAAGATCAGGAACAGGACTCCAGCTCATTGATGGAACTTACAAGACCACAGTTGCTCTAATGAGGTCTTTGGATACTTGGATTTAGAATTGGTGAGACGGATTAACTCTCATATTTTGCATAATTCCGATCTTGCAGCAGGAAATTTGTCTCAAGTTAATAGTCACAGGTGGCCAAGAGAATTCCAGACTAAATAGCCTACCTGGTTAGATGCTGAGGCCTTCTTGGTTCTGTGGCTGATTTACGGTTCTGTGGCTGACTGATTTAAACACGGCTGCCACATAGACGTCGGTGCACTGGAGTGTGTCTATTGCCAACTTTGAACTCTTGGTGTTGCGTCTCGCACTGTATACTTGATGCAAAGTTGACATTCAGTATTTTCTTGTTATCATCTCAATGCAGAATTTATTTTGAATTGAGCAAGTAGATGTAATCAAACTCTGCCTTGTAAGTCTTATAATATATGAAATATAAATCAGTTACTTTTTATTTATTTATTGTTTTACAAGTAAGTCACACTTGTAGCACTAGAGCTCAAACCCTAAACCTTCTATTCTTAGGAGGAGTTTTAATATGCTCTGGGAGTTCTACCTTCAATTTAGTTGTCTATAGTTATGCCGTAGATTGCAAATGACATGCCAAATTCATTAACATAGACATAGTGGCGACGGATCAACATCCTTTCTTCTTGTACTCCATAATGCTAAAAAACGCATCATATTACCAACCTATTAATGATGTCATTTTATATTTCTGATTTCACCCCTATAATAGTTAAATTTTACCAAACAAAATCTAATGTCAGCAGCAGGAAATAAGAACGTTCAAATATTTCATGGGTAAAATGGTAAAATAACATTATCGGGCTAAGTGAAATTACGAAACATTGAAGGGGTTTATGTAAAATTTAGACAAAGTTAAAGAGAGATAAGTGAAATTTAGCCTTGATAAATTTAGTCCATTCTAAGCAGCAACAATGATGTGGGTGGTAGCACATAACCAACCATCCTGGCCTAGTTGGCACTGACTTTGGGAGCTGCGATTCATTGCTGTCAACTATAGGTGCTGTTCGTGTTGTTCAGTTTTTGCATGGCCCAGCTTCGACCACGTCAGCACTCCACTTAATCCTGGTTTAGGGATAGGAAGGCGGCAATTAAGGAACAGTTGAGGAAGGAAGGTGGCAATTTAGGAACAGTGAGCAGAAGGGAGGTGGCAAATTTAGGAATAGTAGACAGACGGAAGGCAGCAAATTAAGTAACAGTGAACAGCAGCGGGTGTCAATCTCGCGGGAGGAAATCCCACCGAAATCTGGGCCAAGCAAAAGTGGTGTTCTGTGTCCAGTGCGTGAAAAGTGGGGAAGATGAGCAGTTGCAGAGTTAGGGAATTGGGGGAAGGGTCGACGCCGAAAGTGAATGAAACGTTGTGGGTCTTTTGGCTACAATTGCTGATAGTAGGGATTTTATGAAGGTTTGATTGAATTTGAAATTATTTGACCACTTTTGAAAATGGGTTCAAACAAATTGGCTTCAAAATTTTAAAACAATTTGGTTTTTAACCGTGGGTGAACAAAACCAAAACCAGGGTTAAGTGTGCGCTGACGTTGCTGAAGCTGAGCTATGAAAATTGGACAGCACGAACAACTGACAGTACTGAATCCAGCTCCCTAACTTTGATGTATTTGCTTGGATTCACAAATTGGTGTAAACTAAAGTACAGCTATGCTCGACAACATGAAATTAGTGCCTTGGAATTAAAGAAAATTTAGTTCTTTTTTTTTTTTTTCCTTTTTCAAATCCACTTATCAAATATATATATTTTAATTTCAAGACACCGATTCTATGTTGTAAAATATAATAGTAGACAGTTGTTGCAATTACACCTTGCAATTTAAACATTTCTTGTTCTTCCTAAGCAGTCTTCATTCGATATACCTGCAATTTATATACAAAGTCAGGCCTGCTAATCAATTCAAGTTTGTTTAATCCCCAGCATATCAACTCTTAACAGTGGTTGCCAAGTGCAACCTACGGCATTTAGACCTCCAAAGTCCCCTGATAGACAAAAATTAACGATTGTAATAATAATAATAATAATAAATGGGATTTCCTAAGAATAAAGTTTGCTGTTTGATTAACGATCATTGTCTAATCTTTCTTTTTTTTAGAAAGTTAAGCAAACTCACACACCCATGCCTATACCGAGGCTTGAACCACAACCTCCCCTTTAGAGAGGTGGGTTTGTACCGGCTGGGCTTTACCCATTTGGTTTCATGTCCAATCTTCTACCACTGGGAGTCTGGCTAGGTTCATCCTTTATGTGGGTAGCTTACCCACAGGCTAGGCTAAAAAATATATTTAAACAAAAATAAATACATAAACAAATAAAGTGTCATCTCATCTCTCATAATATCTTTGATAAATAACATTTAAATGCACAACTCAGATATTCTTTTTCATACGTTTTTTTAATGATTCTCCTCTTGTACATTTTAGTTTCACAAATGCTAGAGTGGGGGGAAGGCAATAGCCACAAAGTTAACAGGTGAATCCTACCGTTCAGTTAAAACCTAAAAGTTTCCTGCAAAATACAATCTTCATTCTTTCACAGAGAACACAGTTTTTTACCTGAATATACAGATAAAAGTCTAACAAACCAACAAACACTACAGATGCTGATGTGACTGATTTAAAATCCAACATTATAAAACACAAGTTTGAATGCATGCAAGGATACTAGTTGCAAGCAAACCAAACAAAGCTCGTGGCTGTTTCCTTCATAATATATTTTACATATTCCGGCCCTCGGAAAAATTACAACACATTAAGCAGACATGTTTAGAGACAGCTCCACTTCATCATTGTATCTCGAACACAGATGCAAATTTATATTGATTCAGATAGCATATATATGATGCATCAAGTATGATAGATTGTCCCCCTATATATTTACATAGAAATTAGGAAGAAATTGCATCAGAATGTTCATAGCAGGCATAATCTGCATTACCAGTTTTAAGGTGCCAGAAGTATCTTCCTTAGTTCGTGGCTCTTCTCAGCGAGGCATCCTGCACTGACTATAGAGGGTATCCAGATCTGATCAGACTTCACTGGTTCATCATCATCATTCCTGTGCCAACTCCAAAACGCATGAGTTGCATTAACTATCTTGAGCTCGCCATGACCAAAGCTTGCTTCACGGAAGACTGACCACTCTGGCTGTGGGTCCTTATACCTGTCAATCAATTTGCAGGTACTTGATGATGGCCTAAGATTAGTTGCTAATAACATTTCAGTGAACCATAATTACTGCATTATAGATATCCACACTTTGTATCATGCAATAAAGGGATAAACGAGTAAAATCTTGATTCATGCAGGCATCACTAATCTATACATATATATAATATTATATATTAACCTAGCGGTTAAGAAAGCAAACTAAATGGATGACTCATACTTGTGTGCTAAACCTTCCCTGTTTCCTCCATCACCGATTGTTATGTGGACAGCACCACAAGGATCCAATTTACCATTATAGACACGTTTCTGTTGAAAAGATGGCCATAAAAAAAGTCAAGTTCCACCAATTATAGAAAAGACAAAAGATAAACCAGTACAGGCATACCGAGCGTTCATAAGCATGCACATGGCCAGCAAGCACAATGTCCACACCAGCAGCATAAAGCAATGGTTCCATGGCTTCCATCATCCCATCCCCTTCACCTTGATGAGCCTTATTACTGTTATACCATGGCACATGAAATAATACAACTAGCCAAGGTGTCCTTTTCCGGTCCACCTTTAAAAGATCAGCCTACAGTTGAAGATTGAAAAGGGACTCTTGTCACATTGATAAGGGAAAGTACTGCATAATAATAAAAAAAATAACTATTGCTCAAATGAAGAATTAAACTGCTCCCCCAGTTCCATGTACTTTTATCTTCTTACATTTTGTCCCTTTTGCCCTATTGGGGGGAGGGGAGATCAAAATGAGAATAGACAAGAACTTAAAATTTACATGTACATAACTGAAACATCAAAACTTCACGCCTAAAGATTAAGCTTTGGGGCTCAAGCCTCTTAGTGAGGTTCAAATTATGTGCAGGATACCAGAATTATATTTGAAGTGCATGGTTTTCATGATTCACCCAAGAAAACAACCCTATGATCTTGAAAGGCCCCACTTCTTATTTTAATATAATTAAAAAGTTTAATCAAATAATTCTTCATTCTGATGTTTCTATTTATAATCTTTATGTACACGTTACACACATCACTAACAACCTTAGGTCTATTGCAGTTTTCCTGCAGGAACATACCAACATGCATCAACATGACCAAGAAGGGATTCAACTCGGGCAAGTTGAGGAGTCAACCCAAGCTCAAACTGGAATACAGAATTATTGGCCCAAGCCCGAGCACAACATGACCTCTAATGCGATGGGTCTAACTGAAGCTCAACGTGATGGATTAGAGTCAGGTTAACTGGTTGCTCGGTTCCAGTATCAAATAAAATTAGAGAAGAAAATTTCTCAAAAATTTAATCAAATTTATATAAAAAAGATCTGTAAAGCAAACAACTCAAACCAATGCTATATATCTCTCTTATTAGATATTACACAAGAACCACAAAAATTTACATGATATCTTATAAATGATTCTATAGTTGCAACCAAAATCATAAACATGTTGTATCGAGAGAGAGAGAACAGGGAAAAAAATAATGTATAAAGCAATAGCCCAGGGCACGAGGATCCTGCCATTGCAGGGTCTGGGGAGGGAGGGTCGGATGTACTCAAACTTACCCCTTCCAGTGATTTGAACCCGTGACCTCCAGGTCATTGGACATGGCTCGCAAAACTTCCAATCTTATGACGCCAGAAGCATCGATATGAGATGGCTCGTGATTAGTTTTGCACTTACGCTCGTGAGATCAGCATCATGAGTGTGTGATAGATAGACGATGGCTGGTGACTAGTGTTGCTTGTGATATGAGAGCAATGAGTGGTGGGGCAATTATGCAGTGATTTTGATGCTTTAATCGTCATGAGGTGGAGGAGGCTAGAGCTTCTACTTCTCGTAAATTTTCTCTCTCAGACAAAGGATGCTTGATACTTTTAACAAGTTTAAAATAACCGCCAGATTAGATATCTACGGCTAATATTCACATATTATGTAATAACAGTATATTACTAATAATAAAACGAAATCAGGCTTGGGCTAGGCTCAGGTCTATGTTGCATGGACTCTTCAAAAGTAGTCGAAGAACCCATGATTCAAATTATGAAATGAAATGGCATTTGCTAAATCAACCTACTCATCAAGTGTATTAAGCTCATTGTTATACATTCGTCGTGTAGAGAGAGTTTTACACTTCAACCCACTCGAGAAGAGTATTCATCATTGATACATCATTTGCTCTAAAGGAAAGAAAATTTTAATTTCCATTTCTTGTCCATATAGGAATATAGTTTGTACTCTATACTGTGCTCATTGAAAAAGGGTTTTTGTGTGACCCTTGAAAGTCTAAGAGAAATGTCTACTTAGCAAGATAGAGAGACAAGCATGAGAAGTTTAGAGAAGCTAAAAAGTTCCATCGTTTGCCAATGACCATATTTACTCCCCCTCTGGGTCAATCCTTGGGCAAAAGATACAACCTAGGATTCTTGCATAAAATGCATAGGGAAAAGATGTGTGATAAATTGTTTAGATTGCCAAAATTTTCACTTAGCAAAATCTGGGTCCTAAAATCATCTCAGCACATTGACTCTTGTCCAAAGAATATTATTTTATTTTTTTTTTTTACAAGTAATTTTCTAAAGAATATTGTTATTAAGGATTTGTCTTTTTGTACATTAACCATTGAAAAATGAATTAATATCAGTAGCAAATGGATACAACCTAGGATTCTTCCATACAATGCATAGGGAAAAGATGTGTAATAACATGATTCTAAGCTATTTAACATTTCTTGTAATAACTTGTTTAGATTGTCAAAAATTTCACTCAGCAAAAACCGATACATAATCTGTCCTAAAATCATTTCGGCACATTGACTCGTCCAAAAAGAGTTGTCATTTTTTGTTTTTGTTTTTTTATTAGTAATTTTCCAAAGAATATTGTTATCAAGGATAGCTGAGGAACCATATCACTTCAAAATTGGAACATTTATAACCAAAAAGCTTGAGAACCCAACAAAGTGACTGCTCAGGTGCCTCACTTTGTTCCCTAGATGGCCCCTAGGCACTGCAGATGACACCTATTTACTAACACTGCTCTGGGCCTGAAGTAAAAATGGAGAGAGATCTTATAGGTGATACAATGACTGGGAGTCCACTTTAGTTGTGTCACACATAATAATCTTTTGACAAATCAACTTAATTAAGAACATAATTAACATTAAACAAGGGGGGTTGTATCATATATTGGAATTGAGCTCCCCGTGACTTTACTTTGTAAAACCCTTGCTTGAAACTGAGGACAGCTACCAAATCAGATTAAGATATGCCCATAAAATGAATATAATACATGATGCCATCAATTTTTTATTTTTTATTTTTATTTTTTGATAAGTTATACATGATGCCATCAATGACTGTGTGTTTCCTTCACACAGCAGTTTCCAACTGATGAGCCTGATCTCTGCCTGGTTGGTATGTCAAGAAACCCATGTCTTAGAAAGAGAAATAAAAAAACCAAGAAGTTTCTCGTTTCAATTGCTTCTTTTGGTGAAGAATCACAGTATACGTATCACAAATCCAAAATAATTACAAAGAATGCTCTTTTAATAATTTTGAGATACTGATTCTGATATTTCTAGAGTAAGAAAAAAGGGCGTGATCAAGCATAAGTTTTTTGTCTCTTTCTCTGATCCATTAGTGAATTTTAAAATTATTATATCACTCAAGTAAATGAAAACAAGGAAGACATTTTAAATTCAGGAAAAATGACAAAAACCAACTTACCTTCAGCCAGCTATATTGATCAGAAGCCGTGTCAAAATCCGCATATGAACCAAGCATAATAACATGAATCCCTGCAACTTCAAAAGAATAATAAAGATTTGAACTTGATCCACTTTCCTCAAATGGCATTTTCCATCTAGCATTATAAGATTCAAAACCATCCGTAAGGAATGGTATGTGCTCTTGTTCATGGTTCCCTTGTGTAACCATCCATGGCCTAGCACTTGCAAGTGGTTGCACCAGTTCACCAAACGTGTCCCATCGGTGCTGCAAATAATCAGCATATGAAAGGTCTCCAGGTAGCAGATGCAAATCATATTTGCATTGGTCTATGTGGTCTAATGTTGATTTAGTCCAGCCAGTCTGACCCAGATCACCAGCCACCGCAAAAGTAATCGGGAATTGAGATGGTGGGGTCCTTAGCTGGAATTCAGGGCCTTGTCCTCCGCAGCGGTAGAAGTAAACAGTGCCATGTTCCAGCGGCCCAATGACAGTGTGGTGTATCTTTCCTGAGCTATATAATAGATAACTGTAAGAGGTGCTCTCTCCTCGAGCTATTGAGTTGTATATCCCTGGTGACGTTCCATATTCAACAATTGGAGGACAAGATCGATCATCAGTGATCCATGTGACTCGAATGTTCCTATCTCCCGCCAAAGATATGTGGACCTGCAATGGTCATTTTGTGCAGCGAATTTTTCAAAGACAATTTCCAAATCAAAGATGAGAATAAAATTTATTTCCAATGTAGAAGACAACTATACTGACTCAAGTCATGAATACATCCATATCGATCACAATTAACTCATCCATGGCAGTAAGGAACTCAAGTTTTCAATCCACACCTTTAGAAGAGATCACAGATAAAAAGCTTATATAAATTAAAGCAACTAAACGTCTATTTTCATCACTATACGTCTACAGGCATACAAGATTCCAGCTAGGACAGAAGATGAACTGACTGGTTGCTTAAAATGGTGAGGAACGAACCAAAAGGATGACTCCTAAAACACTAGATTCACTCTTGATATTCTGCCATTATCATTATAAATGCTTCTCGCAAACTCTGAATAGTTAGCAACACAAATCCTTATAACCATTTAGTCCTAATTCCTAACACAAATTATTAATATTAAGTGAAGAATACAAGAAGTGACCCTCACCCGCAAGTGGAGAGGCAAGCAAACAACAAAACTAAACAGAGTAAAAAGCTTGCACACCAACCTATGAATCAAACTGAAGGGAAAATGCCCTCTCGTGTGCAACCAGACTTGCTCGTGGAGAGGCAAACATATCAAATAGAGTGCAACCTTGCATACCAAAGGGGGATACAAATGCAAACATGGAGACGTGAACCCAGGACCTCCAGAACCAAGGTTCTGATACCATGTTTGACTATTGATTGCCCCAAAAGCTTAAGCTGTTAGGAATATGCCCAACAAAGTATATCAAGCTCTCACACCTACCTCGCATGCAACTATGAGCAAAACAATTCTGACGTCTCTTTCTTTCAAAAAGCAATAATCACATTCTGCATTCTACCCAACCAAAACTTTCTAATCTTCAACTAGATTCAGTTGGAACTAGAAAGAACCAGAACTGAAATTTATCAATAATATATTCTATAATTCAGTATGAAACAAATATTTTACTTATAAAAAGTAGTACAAATATATATATATATAAAAAAAAGGTGGCTTTGTCTTCAATACTTTTTAGTCCATTTAGAGGGAAATCCATTAATACTACGCGGTACCCACTACTTTAACATCAAACATTAAACATTAAATATACATAAAAAGCAGATACAGACTTCATCAAACATAATTTATACACATTTCATCAAACCTAATCAAGCCAACTAGGATGATAATTACTAGCCTTTTGCTCAGCACTTCATTTGGAGGCTGAGAAAATTAGGGAAAAACCAAAACAAAAAAAATTAAATAAAAATAAAAATAAATAATATTAATAACAACAAAAAGTTAAATCTCACTACTTATATTTGTCTTGATTTCAGAAGAACTTCTGCTAAGCTCAGTTTAGAAAGTGGTTTATATTTTCGTCTGTCCCAAATCATGATAGATCCTATAAGATTCGGAATTTAATTCCACTTTTTTTTTTCTAAAATTTTCTTAGAAACGAAACTGGGCATAGATAATACAAAACTAAACACAAAACCAGTATACATATAAAGTTACCTGTTGGGGATGAGAAGAAGGCTTTGGATTCCATGGAAAATGTAGGGTTTTTCGAGGCTGTGGTCGGACGTAATCGGTGGCGGCCGTTGCAGTAATCGCCAAGGCGATCGTTAGTAGTGCAAAGAGTGGTTCCATAATTTTCACTACCTCCAGACTGAATCGCAGCAATTCTTGCACAAGATTATGATTGGTCGGGGTGGTAACAGTTTCCGAAAAATTATTAGGTGGGACCACATCATCCTGTACAATCAGGAGATAACATTATGAAAATTACACGGAAGTCCGGGATGACCGTCGGTGGAGATATTAGAACCTTTCAAATAAATAAATAATGTAAAAGTATTACGGAGTAAAAAATTTTAAAAATTTTATTCTATTATTTTTTTTTTTTTTTTAAATAATGATAAAGAGATTGGATAATTAACTCCGAATAAGTATTAAATTTGACATATTTTTGTCCACCTCATTTATTTAAACAATTTCTAAAAAAATAATTATTTAACATTTGATAAGAATCACTAACCACGACAAATTCGATGTTAATTTAGAAAATTGTTTTTGATTCCCCTATCATGACTTGTGTTGAGGGGGATACTTTCACGAAAAATTATTTATTAAAAATTTTCATTCCATAAAGTACGCGAGTCTTATTTAAGCCAAAATAAGCGGAATCATGTTAACTTATCAAAATAAGTAATAATAATAATATAGGTTCTAATATCTCCTAATGTCATTCTATTATTATTTTTTTTTCCTTATTGATGATACATGCACAACTCCACTAAAATTATTTATCCAAGAAAGGTTCTATTATAAATGGAGTACAATAAATAAATATATATATAAAATTATAAATGAACAAAGTAAATATAAATTAACAAATAAGAGGGTGGTCTGTATATATACTTACCAAATCCTAAGAAGATAATTTACCTTTATTATTATTATTATTATTATTATTTTTGTTTGATAAGATAACACGTCTCCACTCCAAACTACGTCTTATTTAGGAAAAAGTACTATTGATTCCGCTAATTACTATTTGAGGACGAAAAAAAAAGCTAAAACAAAATTTACATATTTTTGATACATTTATTTAGATGTTAAATGGTGATATTGATTCAAAACCAATAATCCCGACCATGAAATAAGCCCCCACCAGTTTTAAAAAATCATACCATCAGATTTTTGTGTGGGATTATTGCTTCAATTATTTTGGCGTAAAAGATTTTTCTTGAAAAAGATTAAAAGTTATTTATTTTTTATTTTTTTTAGTGTTTGGCAAGATCTAGATAAAGAATAAGGTTGAATTCATCAGGCTGTGTAAAATAACAACCTGTCAAAAATTAATGAATAAAATGAGTAAATTATTTTTGTTAATTTTTTATATTTTTTCTTTATAAATATTTTTCGATAATCAAACACTAAAAAAATAAAAAATAAAAAATATTTTTTGAAAAACATTTTACAATTTACATTCGAACATAGGAGCGCTTACATGCAAACGAAGGGCAAACCCACCCCTGCGTGATCTTGACTAATGACCCACATATGTAAGGTACTCCTTGCATTTTAAACACCGACTTGCATCTGCTAAAAAATAGTAATTCATACTGACCCACATATGTAAGGTATTCCTTGCATTTTAAACACCGACTTGCATCTGCTAAAAAATAGTAATTCATACTGACAAAAGTGATCAGCATAAAACTCTCCTAAGTATCTAATTTGTTGCAAAGTGATGTTATAATGATGCAAATGTCCTTTATTATCAAATTAAATTTTTTTTTTTTTTTTCCTTTTGTAATTTTTAAAAATATAACTTTCAGAAAAATTTATAAAATATACACCATTAAAGTGAAGTTATAATACGAAAATGCCGCTTAATGTAAATTTAAGAAAATTTAGGTTGTCGATTTTCATTTAGGTTTTATTTGTATATTTTAAGAACATTTTATAAATAGTTCCAAGGAATTTTCTATTTCTTACAAATTTTAACACTGCTATGGCGAACAAGTTATTCGTATTAATTTTAATTTTATATTAAGAGAAACCAATTTTTAAATTTATATTAAGGGGCATTTTCATCATACTAATATCACTTTGCAACAAATCAAATGGTTCGGGAGATGGGGTATGTCAATTTTTTTCAATAAGGGAGTTTCTTGCCAAAAATTGAAAGTAGAGGGGATTTTTTGTAATTTGCCATTTGTAAATATTATACATTCTAAAACTATTTCTTTTCTTTAATATAATGAAATGATAAATGTCAACACCATAATTTCAAAATAAATTTACATGTTCACAATCAAACATATCATGTTTAACTAATAAATCATATTGTAAAATGAAGTTTTTTAATTTAATGATTTTTTAAAGCTAATTTTAACCTAATTGTGTTGTTTGATTTCTATTTATATTGATATTTCTTTTGTTAAACATGTTGGCAATGCGGTTGATAGTGATGGAGATACAATTATAGTTGATGATAATGATATTCTTTGCGTAATTGATGACGATGATAACCTATCTTACGTTACAAGTCATTTAACACCTATGTACAATTTGTTCTCTTCCAATATTTCACACTCTTGTATATTCTAAAACTATGTCTTTTCTTTATTATAGTGAAAATGATAAATTTTAAATGAATTAATAAGGTCACAATCAGAAGTATCATGTTTAACTAATATATTATAAAATAATTTTTTAAGCTAATTTTCTTGCTAATATTAATATTTATTTTGTTAAAAATGTTGACAATATATGCAGTTTGATAGAGATGAAGATGTAACTGTAGTTGATAATATATAGTCCTTACGTAGTGGATGACGATGATAATCGACCTTATGTTACATGTCAAAATATTAAGGAAATAATGTAAACAGCTTTGGTCGAAGCTGTGTGCTATCAGATTGAAAATGAAACAAGGAACATAATAGAGAGTCTAAGCTCAAGACCAACCTTACAATATCTTTTACCAGACTACCTTTAAATATAACCACCCAATATTCTGCTATTTTTTCACAAGTTCAAGAGCAACATTTCTAACCACTTGCTTAGAATTAAGCAAGTCTTGACAGTCTTTTTCATTTGTGAATAATTTAGCGAGTTATATCACTAGAACAAAGTAAGGAATTTCGAGTCTTTTGTTGTAAAAAAAGAATTTGCAGTCCTTGGCTTGCCACTTATGCCACCAAAACGACATAAAAAGAAATGAAACTTTTGTAATCTGTTGTTATTATTATTATTAGGGTTAAAGGCAAAAAATTCCCTGAACTATTGGTTAATTAGCAACAAGTCCTCCTGAATTACAAAAATTACAAAAAACCCTCTGAACTATACATTTTTGTTGAAGATGACTCCATCCGGCGACGGCACCGGTTGAAACTCGCCGTTAAAATACGACGTGAGCACAATATATGATTTAATGACTATAATGCCCTTATAAGTATGAAATGACTCTATAACCCTTTATTATGCCATTACACCAAAACACAACCCAAACACGACCTTAACTTGCTGTTGCACCCAAACACATCTTTTTTCTCTTCTGTTTATATACACATATACGTATATATATTTACAAACACTATTCATCTTCTTCTTCGCGTCTTTCTGGTACACCAAACAACTCTACTGATACACCTAATGTGAATTGCAGTTGATGTGATTCTCTCCACCTCGTCACTACGGTCACCGCCACCACCCACTTCCGTCAACACCGTCACCATTGTCACAAACCCAGCACCACCCACTTCCGTCACCACCATTACCGCCACCTCAACCTATAGAACCACAATCCTCTCTATTTGGTTGAAAACTCACAAAAATTCATATTAAACCACCGCAAAACAACCCCACAAACCCACTGCGAACACTGTTGAACCTGTTGGAAAAATATATGCTTCATGTGACATTTAAGATATAACAAACCTTATACTAATATGTCATGTGATAATTAACAATATGCTAAGAAATCATTAATTACATATGCAACTCTATATTTAATTAAATATGCAAAAAAAAAAAACAATAAAATAATAATAATATACAAGGAATGAACTTGGACCGAGGCTAGTATTGGATACTATGTCCTTAAGACAGATTCGCCCTACTATGGTGCTAACGGACTCAGTGGGGTCTATCTCCCAGGATACAACGGTCTATATCCACCAGTAGTAGCATTACAAACTCGTGGATACGGCAAACCTCCTTCGTGTAATACTTTCTCTGACTCAAAAATGCATCTATACTATATAAATGCTGAATTGGGTGCAATCCGAACCAAATGGTTCGGACCAATCTTAATATGGCTCGATGAAATTGAATTAGGGTCTAAGTGGTTCGGACCACTTAACCTATGGTTTGAACCCACTTGGGTTGGGTTCAAGTCTAGAGAGGGAGATAGAAGAAATTGAAAAATGAAATAAATTGCAAATGATCCAAAGGGGGGTATTTATAGGCAACAAGGTGCATTTTCAGATTGGGTGCAACCATTTGGAAAAAACTAAAAAATAGTTTTTAATTAATGTGCCTTTTCGGATTGGGTGTGTCTTTTCATCATTGGACATAACCATTTATATGTGTCTCTTCACACTGGACACATCCACTCCAATAGGTTGTAGTGGTTCACATGGTGTCTGTTCACCAATAGACACATCCACTCCAATAGGTTGCAATGGTTCACATGAATAGTTATGTCTGTTGGTTTTAAGTTGAAACCCTTTAGAAACAAATGCAACTCTTTGAAAAACAGATGCAACCCTTTAAAAATAGATGCAACCCTTTGGAAAAAAACCTAACTTTTAATTTAAATTCAAAAACTAACCACCCATTTAATAGCCCAAAATTAAAGGCCCAATCCAAGATTCCATTTTGTAAAAAAAATAATTAGACTTTACAATTAGGCCTAAGCCCAATCCCAAATTTGGCTTATTTAAATTTCAATTAGTTTCAACATTTTTTCCATGTGGGGCAAACACTTCCTACATTTTGCATACACATTCAGGTTTATCAAAACACCACACTTTGGAGCTAATTTCTCATTCACTCTGAAACGGATTTGAGAAAATAAATATACCACGTTCATCTCCTTGCGGAGAGAAACGCGCTCATCTAGAGATCCGCAAAAAATTATTAGCGAAATTTATTCCAAATCTCATCAAAAGTTTATGTTTTTAATGCCCCCATTTCCAACAATCCCCCACAT